TAAAGATAAAGGCATGAAATTTGTTAAATAAAAGCCACCGAAAATAAACTAATAATGGAATTTCAGTGTGAATACATGAAAAAGAAGGTGACTGTTTCCTCTGAAATGTATTTAAATATGTCATTCAAATTTTAAAGCACATTTTACCATCAACGGGGGAGAGAGAAACACTCAAAACACTGAAACACTGTACGTGCGTCTTCAATCATCTGGTTTCCTTAGCTATCTTTGCATTCTCTGCTCTCTCATCTCTGTCTCGCGCTAGTATGGAAGCTGGAAAGGTGTTAGAAGTTCTCTATACTTTTCCTGTCGAGGGAATACTGAACAAGCTGGCTTCACTTGCTGCTCAAGAAATAAGTCTGTTCCGGGGATTCAAAAGGGAACTGACAAAGCTTCGTCAATCGTTACTCGCGATTCAAGATTTCTTAGGCGATGTTGCCCACCAGCCACAGCAACGGGGCAAGGCAGTGGAGGAGTGGGTGAGGAAACTGAAGGACATAGCTGATGATGCTGACAATGTCTTGGATGAAATCAACTATGAAGATCTCCGGAGTCAAGTAGAACTGTCAAACCAAAAGAGGAAAAAGGTACTCAACTTCATTTCAAGCTCCAATCCCCATTTGTTTCGTCAAAAAATGGCACATAAAATCAAGAACATCAACGCATCATTGTTGGATCTCAAATCTGAGGCATCTTTCATTGGACTGGTTTCCAAGAAAATAGATGCAACCCCTCCAGAAATTGTGGGGGCCAGAGAAACCGACTCAATCTTTGAGGAAGATGAAATCGTGGTTGGAAGGAAGGAGGATCTGTCAAAGATAATTACAATCTTGACAAACTCCAACTTGGATCAAGAAAATCTTTCGGTAATGCCCATTGTAGGAATGGGAGGCCTAGGGAAGACAACTTTGGCTAAGTCAGTATTCAATGATGATTCTATTGGTAGGCATTTTGATAAAAAAATATGGGTGTGTGTATCTAACACTTTTGAGGTCAATCCGATTTTAAGTTGGATATTAGAATATCTTAACCCAACAAAGGCTGGGATACAACGCCAAGATGCATTGCTTAAAAACCTAGTAGAAGAATTGAAAGAGAAGAGATATTTTCTCGTGCTTGATGACGTCTGGAACGAAGATCCTAAAAAATGGAGCAATTTGATGACTTGTTTGTCAAAACTTCATAGTGCCCATGGAAGCGTCGTTATTGTCACTACGCGCATTGCCAGTGTTGCATCAATCATGAAAAAAGTACTTCCAATGTATGTCTTGGGAAGTCTATCTGTTGATGATTGTTGGGACATATTGAAGAAAAGAGCATTTCCAGATGGTAATGCTCCTATTGCAAAAGATCTAGAAACAATTGGAAAGGAGATTGCCAGAAAGTGTGCTGGTGTACCGTTAACGGCCAAGGTACGTAATGATATATCAATTTGAACTTTCTTCTGCATGCATTTCTTTATTTGTTACAAGTACTAAAAGTATTCAGATAATTTACATACAAGATATTCAGATATGGCCCCTTGCAATTAAAATAGTCTAGATAAAAACTCACATACCTTTTTAATTCTAACTAAAACCCAAAATTGAATTCAACGACAAATTGTTCATTAGTATTAAATCATTTACAAGGATAATGCTTCCCTCCTTGCCCATAAGAGCACTTCCAGCGGCTAGTCTTGGCCAAGGCAAGAGGGGGCCCAAGCCCTAATTTCACGTTCCAGTAGGCTTTAGTAGCCCGAGCAGCTGGTGGGCTCCACAAGTCTAGGCAGGCCCGAAGGCAAGAGTAGCCTGGGTTGATTACGTTAGCAACGAAAAAGTTCTTTAAAAAAAATCGAAAAAAAAATATGAAAAAAATACTAAAAATTTCAAAAAGAAAATTAAAAATAAATACTTAGTCAAATTCTTCACTTCCCACACCAAAACTCTATACAAATTCTTCTCCTCACATCTCATGTGAATAGTGGTTGCCATGGCAATGGGTGAAAACACCACAAGCCTTTTGTAAGAGTTGCCACTATTCACGTGAATAGTAACAGCCATTGTCTTGCCCTTACCCTTTGTCATGGCAAATGGGTGAAAGTGCTCTAAGAAGGAATTCCTCATTGTCTACTAATGTAGCTCAACCACAATCTGACACATGTCTATTTTTGTTAAGAATATTTAAAATGAAAAATAAATACACATGTGAGAATTTTTTTTTATTTTTAAAAACAAGTATTAATTTAAAAGGTGATATGCATATTCTATGTCAAAAAGTAAAAGTGTGACGATGTCTTCATGTCATGCATATATATGTGGTAGGTCCAATACAAATTAAGTCCAAATTAATTAATACGGCTTTTAGAATTCAGATTCAGTTGCTCAACTTGGCGCCAATCCCTCCCTGATCATGGCCTATGGGGGGCAGTTTTGGAAAGTGAATATACAACACAACTAGCTGCCGTCTTATCTCCTTTTCATAGGATTTTGTCAAAAGTGAGCAAATCTTTGCATAGTCATATTTCGAGGTCATATCCTTAAGTGTAGCAATTTTTCTTTATATTTGTTACCACACCGGATGTATGCATTTAAAGGGGTTAAATAAACAGTAGACTTACTTCAATCAACAGTTTAAAATCGTCTATGTAAGCATAAATAACTATATTCGCCCATATCAACCTATCAGCTTATGATAACTCAAAATATAGAAACAAGGTTTAGCGAATTACCACATCAATAAGCAATATCATGAATTGTGAGACCAGGTTTTGATGGAGCATTAAGTTTGACAGTTACTCAGTGTTTCATCTCATTTCTTTTACAATTCTACATGTAAATTTTTTTACCTACAATTCATTTGATGTCATTTAATTATTTTCATCTCATTTTTTTAACTATCGTTTGAATGCGTGTTAATTTACCTATATTTACATGTATGCTACTTTATAGATATTTGCAAGTACAATGATTAGGCATATGTACTTAAAAAGTATAGGTAATTTAATAGGTACATTATCAGCATAATATGTACAATTTATATAAGGTACATTACTCACATCAAAATAATAGGTCTGTACTAAGAAAATACTAATTGTTACATATAAATATATATAGGTCAATTATGTAACCCATATTAATGTACCTATATTTTGCAAGTTCAACAATTTACCTAGATATGTCCTAAGAAAATTGTAGGTAATGTACCTAAAACACAAGGATCAAGACCTATAAAGAGCAAAACGTGTTCTTTCTCTTTAAAAAATTAATTTCAAGCTATAACAATTAAAACATTTGAAACTTTGATATAAGTAAAAGGAACTAACTAACTAATCGATCTGAAAACAAAAACAAAAATTATCAACAGTCAAATTTGGAAACACATCATTTACTCATTATTTAATTATATATTCCATTAAAAAAATCTTTAATTATATATAAAATAAAATAAAGACCCCCCAATCCCTAAATTTATGCAAAATTGAAACAGTACTATTACTGGCATTGACTTGCAAAGAGTTTGTTGAAAAAAATATCGTTACAATGTAATTAGGGGTATTTCAAGAATCCAAAAATATAACATTTAACACATTAAGCTTGATTAGGTAACTTGCTTAGCTGGATCCTAATCATCGGGTTTTACTTTTAAAAAATTGGGTTTTATTTATAGAAAAATAAGATGATGGGTTGTAGGTAAGAAAAAATTTGTTTGAAGAGGAAAACCCAAATTTACTATTTACTACACACATGAACATTGGCTAAGGATTAAAAATTCCAACAAAATACCCGTTTTTGGTGCAACGTTAACATTTACTGGTAACATACAACTAAGTTTATTGAAAAACTAAATGATGTTTCCTGTTATTATAGCCAAGTCACCTAGTTAATCTTTAATATATACACTAATTTATGTACCAACAGGTTTTGGGAAGCATGATGCATTCTAAAGATAGTATCGATGAATGGTTGGAAATTCAAAACAGTAAGACATGGGAATTACCAGAAGGAGATGAAAAAATTATGTCGATTTTGAAGTTGAGTTTTGATAATTTGAAATCACCTTCTTTGAAACAGTGTTTTGCATATTGCTCAAACTTCAAGAAAGATTTTGAGTTGAGTGACCAAAGTGTAACTTCGGGTATAGTTGAGGGACCATTGCTACAAATAACCCGAGAAAATAAAGTGGGTGGGAAAATATTAATATTGAGGTTAAATTAGTGCACCTAGTTTTGATGGAGGATCAAAACCTATCCTTTCTCTTTGAAAAATTAATTTCAAACTATAACAATTAAAACTTTTGAAACTTTGATATAAGTAAAAGGAAGTAACTACCTAATCAAATTTGAAAACAAAAACAAAAATTATCACGCAGTCAAATTTGGAAACACATCAAATGCTACACTTACCACATTATTATCCCACATTTCTATACCACATGATGTGGCATGTCCATATCATGTCATATCAATTAAATGAATGAAGTGTATTTTAATAAATAAAATTATAAAAACAGAAACTAGTATTTTACATGATGTGGTATGTACACATCAGCTGCCACATCATGTGGTATAAATTGTGGTATAAAAAATGTGGTAAGACTAGTATTATTCTTTACTCATTGTTTAATTATATATTCCATAATTAGAAAAGAAACAAAAAAAGAAGAAGAAGAAGCTCTAATTATATATATAATTGAAAAAAGGACCCCCTAATCCCTAAATTTATGCAAAATTGAAACATCGTTACTGGCATTGAATTGCAAATAATTTGTTGAAAAAAATATCATTACAATGTAATTGTATTTAAGGAATCCGAAAATATAACATTTAACACATTAAGTTTGATTAGGTAACTTGCTTAGCTGGATCCTATTCATCGGGTTTTACTTTCAAAAATTGGGTTTTGTTCATGGAAAAATAAGACGATGGGTTGTAGGTAAGAAAAAATGTATTTGAAGCGGAAAACCCAAATTACTATTTACACAGATGAACATTGGCTAAGGATCAAACATTCCAACAAAATACCTGTATTTGTTGCAATGTTAACATATGCTGGTAACATTCAACTAAGTTTATTGAAAAACCAAATTATGTTTCATGTTATTATAGCAAGTCACCTAGATATATACACTAATTTATGTACCAACAGGTTTTGGGAAGCATGATGCGTTCTAAAGATAGTGGCGATGAATGGTTGGAAATTCAAGAAAGTAAGATATGGGAATTACCAGAAGGAGATGAAAGAATTATGTCGGTTTTGAAATTGAGTTTTGATCATTTGAAATCACCTTCTTTGAAACAGTGTTTTGCATATTGCTCAAACTTCAAGAAAGATTTTAGAATGAAAAAGGATGACCTGATCCAGCTATGGATGGCTCAAGGATTTCTCGGTTCTTCTCCTAACAAAGATATGGAGGATATAGGTGATGAATATTTTACGATTCTGTTGCAAAACTCCCTATTTCAAGATGTTATAAGGGATAACTTCGGTATTATTAGCCATTGCAAGATGCACGATCTTGTACATGATCTTGCTGAGCTTGTATCAAGATCTGAAATGGAAGATAAACTTGAGAATCAACACGTGGCATGGGATCCTTCCAAAAGTTCCCAAAGAAATGTTGAGAAACGGCAGTCACTATTTGTGAATGGTGATCAAGCCATTAGTAATAATACATTACTTATAAGCTTTAAGGCTTTGCGTGTTTTAAATTTGTATAGGGCTGATATTGAGGAGCTGCCAAGTTCAATTGGCGTCTTGACACATTTGAGATATTTGAACGTTTTTGGAACAAAAATCAAACAACTCCCTAAGTCTATTGGCAAGCTTTATAACCTACAAACGTTAAGAGTGGAGAATACAAGGAATCTTGTCACGTTTCCAAAGGAAATGGAAAATTTGATCAACTGGAGGCATGTTTATTTCTATTATGATAAGCCAGTTCCATTTGGGATGGGACGATTAGAACATCTGCAAACAATATCTCCTTCGTTTACTTTGGACAAGGAAAGTAATCGTGGAATTGACGATCTGGGTGGCTTAAACCAATTAAAAGGTGAACTAATTATTAAAGGCTTGGAACATGCGAGGGATGGACGCCAAGCAGGGGCATCAAATTTAGTTGGGAAAGCAAATCTACGAAGGTTGACATTAAAATGGAGCTCTTATCACGAGGGCAGAAACGAGAAAGACATTGATGTACTAGAAGGCCTCCGACCCAATACTGAGTTAGAAATCTTAAAGATTGACAGATTCATGGGTTCTAAATTAGCATCATGGATGATGAGTGGTTCGTTGCCACTCAAACTGACAGAGATTTGGTTACGGAATTGCGGAGAATGCGAACAAGTCCCATCACTTGGCCATTTACCAAATCTTAGGCTTGTTGAGTTTAGCTACATGTATAAGCTTAAATGTGTGGGAGTAGAGTTTTATGGTTATAACCATAATAACGGTGCGACTTTTTTTCCAGCATTGAAAAGCTTAACTATTATTTGTTGCCCAGCTCTAATTAAATGGGAGGAACTGCCAACATATGAGAAAGTAGCGGTGTTTCCCTGCCTTGAGGAGTTGACTATAAAGCATTGCATTAGTCTCGAGTTCATTCCAATTACCCTGGGCAAGGGCATGCCATGTCTCTGCAAATTGCAGATTGAGGATTGTGAGAAATTATCAAGCTTGCCGACTAGCTTAGAATATTGCATCTCTCTTCAGGAGTTGGATATTTTTCGTTGTCATGGATTGACAAGTCTATCGAGTGGGCTACCATCCTGCACATCTCTTAAGAAGTTGAGAATCGAGTCATGTGACAATTTGATATCTCTGGCAGATCTCGATGTATCCAGGTTACAGTCTCTTTCCTCTTTAGATATATTTAATTGTGGGAAATTAAACTATTTGCCATTAGAGGGGCTATGCTCTCTTACGCGTGTAGAATCTATGAAAATGGGTCCGTTTTCAGAGGAGCTCGATTCTTTCCCTGATTTTGAGCTTCCATCACAAATCCAAAGACTAGTGATGAAAGGGTGGCCTAATCTTAGGCTCAAGTCTTTGCCTCAACAAATTCAACACTTGACTACTTCTCTAACATTTTTGGAGATTGATTCTTTCGATGGTGTGGAGGCTCTTCCAGAGTGGTTGGGTAACCTTTCATCTCTTACCACCCTGAGTATCAGGCGGTGTAAGAATCTGGTGTCTCTTCCTGCCATTGAAGTTATGCAACGCCTCACCAAACTAAAAGGGCTAGAGATTGCTGCATGTCCCCATCTAGGAGAAAGATCCGCCCTTAAAAGCGGCCCAGAATGGCACAAGATTTCTCACATCCCACGTATAATTGGTAATTACAATATTCTCCAATGAAATCATTCAATTCCCTTTTCTCACTTAATTTTCCAATAAGTATAAGTTAAGGATTGGGTTAATCTTGGATTGCATTCATTAGTTGTATTGTTAAATTTAATATGAAGATTAGAAACATATAACCAATCCTCTAACATAAAATACTTATTGAAGAATCTCCCTTCTTTCCTTCAGTATTATTGACCAAACACTTTTTTAATTAGTTCCCAGATGAGAATCATCGGAATCTTTTTAGTGATGATGATTCGACCAATGCAACCCCTTCACAAACTAGCTAGCACAGTTGGAGCACAAAGTGAGTCTACTCTTCTTCTCTCATCAGATTAATCGTTAAACTAGATTTTCGGAGCTTTCTACTCTTCTCTAGCCTCTGCTTAATGTTTTCCATATCTTCCTATATACCTTGTTGGTTTGCAGAAGGATCTTACGCAATTGGAAGAACAAATAATGCGCATTAGGTGCAAACTTATTCCAGGTACTTCACTTCAGTTCCCTTTCCCCTGCATCGTTATTTACTCATTTCTTTGGAGATCAATGCAGAGAGGGAAAAAAAAAAAAGAATTACCCTAATAATCATATCATACATTCCCATCTAATCATAACATCACTTTACTAGCACGGAGGAGAATACGATTATTCTGAGAAATCATTCTCCTATTTATATATGAGAAAAAAGTATTCACACTTTTGCTTTATATATTTAGATGATATTCCTTCTGTTTCAGTACAGATTATATACACATGATATAATATCATTAAGTAGATACTAACCTCTGTTCATTTTCAATGCACTTAAGTTTGATGCGCTTACACAAATGTGAGTATATTTTACATATCAGTTTCAGTAATATGTTCATAAGTTTTGTTGTCATTTCAACTTTTTACTCTTTTTCCGGTCAGGTTTTGATCAGCATTTTTCATCTGCCTCATTCTCACCACTGAATTCTTTTCCAGAGGGGATGGGGATGTATTTGCTATAGATCCTTGCATAAGGTAGGTGAAGGTGTCCATCAGATGGATTTGTGAAGCTGATCAACGACAATGTGTCATGGCAAACACAAACTGATACAGACCATTATGTGTTGGCTGCCAATGGTAGTAATCTTGTATGAGCTAGTTCTTGCTTGTTATTGCTGAAGATCACAGGGTAGCCAAACTACAAGTCTCTACCTCAACAACAAATTCAACACTGCACTTGTCTACAAGATTTGTATATGCATGCAGGACCTCTTCCAGAGTGATTGGGGTAACCTTACATCTCTTACCCATCTCAGGTTTAAGGCGTGTGAGAATTTGGTGTATCTTCCTGCCATTGAGGTTATGCAACACCTCACCAAACTTGTTACATGTCCTGGTCTAGGGGGAAGATCCGCCCTCCTGAGCGGCCCAGAATGGCACAAGATTTCTCACATCCCATGTATATCAAGTTATTATATTCTCAAAAGAAATCCTTCCTTATTTGTTCAAATCCTTCCTGCTCTTCTCTAGCCTCTGCCCAATGTTTTCCACATCTTCGTATATATGTTGTGTTACTGATGGCATTTACTATCAGTTGAATTTGGCACAATTTGTTGGATTTCACTTCCGGACTAGGTGATGCGGAATTGGTGCAAACTTAGTCTAGGTACTTCGCTTCATGCATTGTTATTTACTCACTTCTTTGGATATAAATGCAGAAGAAGAAAAAATGATGACTGGGATTGATTAGAACTAACCTAATAATCATATTGTACATTCACATCTTATAATCATGAGATCACTTTACTAGCATGGAGAAAACAATTATTCTTAGAAATCATTCTCCTATTTATATATGAGAAAAGTATTCACATGTTTAGCTTCAGTCCTTATCATTTGAGATATATACATTTCCCTAGCAATGTTGTGTTTAGTATTGTTTACTTTTGAAGTGTTTTACACGTGTTCATCTGTAGCTTGCTAAATTTCTGACTCTACCTTCATTTGTAAATAAAATACTATATTTATACGCTCTTAGGGGAGACTTACAATGGAAAAATAAAATGCGATAACTAGTTTAAAGTCAATTTCTTCATTGCTAGCTTTGCAATCTACTGTATTCAATTACTGCTGATTTGATCTCTTTCTCATAAATCTATAGCAGTATTTTCTTGTACATTTCATTGTTGCTGCTGGCCTACTAGTTTTGTATCATGAAAACAGACTTTGATTTGCAATGACAGAGATTTGAATTCTCAGATTTGCATAGTTGGCTGATATGCCAACGTTACTTGTCTGTTACTGGCACTCTATGAAGTAACATACAAAAACATTTGGCTCCTTGATCATTTGTATGATATTCCTTCTGTTTCAGAAAAGATTATGTATGCATGATATGTTATCGGTCATTAGATGCTAACCTCTGCTCATTCTTAATGCATTTTAGTTTGATGCTCTTACATGAATGTGAGTTTATTTTACATATCGGTTTCAGTAATATATTCTTCATATGTTTTGCCATCGTTTCAACGTTTTATACTTTTCTGGGTCAGGTTTTGATCAGCATTCATTTTGCATCTGCTTCAATCAGTGGAGGGTTAGAGGTGCGTTAGCAGGAGAAATAGCAGCTTGTTCAGATTCCAAGGTGCAGGTACTTGAGATCTATTTCCCCTGTTGTCCTACATTGGTCAGTTACTTATTTCTTAAGAATTATGTATGCTTGAATTATTATTAGTGAATTGATGTTAACCTTCGCTCATGCTTTAATGGTATGTCTTTTTTTTTTTTTTTTTCAAATAAGAATTGTGTTGGCAGCAGCCTTTTGTAATTTGTTTGTTTCATGTATGAATCAACCTTTTTTATATGCTTCCATCTTACCACTGGATGTATCTTTCACCTCTCTTCGCTTGTTGTGTAACCATTTCTGAAGAACCTGTGTTATTTATGAAATTGATGATACTCATTTGCAGATTTTTGGGACAAGCATCCATTTGAAGTTTAAAGAGTCCTTAGAAGTTGTTTATAAAAATGTGATGATCTGGAGGATTTACTCGAGTGATGAGGGAACCTTGCAGATGAACTATCTATTGGTATCTGTGAGGACTTACTAGAGTGATGAGTATCTACCGCCAGTTGAAGGCTCCGAAAACATCCCCAAAACGAAAAGATGCACCGAGAAGAGCAACCCCAGTCAAGTGGCAAAGATTTTCTCATATTTCCAAGAGTCAAGTGTACGTTTCATTTATAGTTAATTAACTTGGTGGCCATTAAGTTTTTTCTCTACTACAACACAAAAGAAGAAGAAGAAGAAACAGAAAGAAAGAGAAAAAAGTAGTTTTACCATTACCATACCAAAAAAAAAAATGTTTTGGCATTACTATACATTGCAGGAATATATTCAACTCTTTAGTTGTCCGGTTTCAATATTTTAGACTTTCAATATCTTAGACTTACTTGCATCATGGAAGAATAAAATTTATTGCTTTAAGACATTGTGTTTTCACAATCTTTGTGGGATAACACTTAAGATTGTTGAGTTTGCTAGTATAGAAGACAAACTAATACATACATAACAGGCAAGACACTTCAGCTCTTGCATGATTTCATTGCAATTTTTTGGATCATCGAACAGAAGCTTTTAGTCATTAGTTTCACAGAACTGCTTTGTTTTTGTGGCAATCTATATAATTACAGGTGTTTATGAGTCCTTGGTGTCCTCGTTGCGACATCTGTAATTTTCTGTTTCAAATTTTAATATTTCTCTTTTACAGGCGAGGAGACTGCAATCAATACTCATATGCTGTCTAACCTTTTGTCTACAACGTGTGGTTCATAATGCAGGTTTCAGCTATAAAAATGGTATATCATTTGTTGATGGTGAAGTGATTTTTTTTACTTACATATCTTGGAGTACCCTAAAACAATCATAATTTATACATGTAGTGTAAGGAAATTACTATTTCTGGAAGGTGTTGATCTATTTTCCTTTTTCTTGTTTCTGTAATTAAGGTCATGGACTCTTGCTTGGATGCATATCACAGAGAACAAAGGCCTCTGTTCCTAGTCTTATTTGATAGCATGTCATTTACCTATGCTATTGCAAGGCTCAGGTAAAGGAATCTTCAGTTATATTCTTTTGAGTCATATTCTGATGAGTTTTGCATCACAGGATCAACTTGTTTGTTGTTGTGTGGTGCAGTAATAATGAGGAAAAGCGTTTTCCATCAACTTCTAAGAGAAACACTTCTCGTAGAGAATACTTTTCCTGGCTAGTCGAGCTCTGCGTCCTGCCTCTTCAAAGGAAGAAAGTTGAAGTGCTTTTATGAGTGACCTTTGGATGTACTTGCTACTTGGGGTTCCATTTCTATAGGGAATAATGGGATGAGAGAAGCGAGACAAATTTAGTTTGATGGTGAGAACCTATTTGTTCTCTCTTGTCATACTCTTTGTACTCTTTTTCTTTTGATTAAGTGAATTATCATTGGCATCGTTGCCCATGGATGTAGCCCAACTTTGGGTGAACCACGTTAAATACGGTGTTTCATTTTGTGTTTACTTTTCTTGCGTTGGTTTGTGGTCTCGAACTAGAGTTAAATTTAACGTGACAAATTCCTTACTCTGCTTCGCATTAACACATCAAAAGTGTAGTTGCAACTTGCATTGGATTGTTTTAAGAATCACAAAAACTACTCGCATCAAACTTATTAGCTTACATAGTCTTTGACATAAAACTTATCTACGGATTGCTTCAAAATCTCCATTTGTACATACATTATAAATGGAGAAATAGGGGGTCACTGCATGCATTATGCATACATGATTTTACTTGTTATCTATATGCTCACGTTTAAAAAGAAAGTTTCACTATGAAACTAAGAATTTTGTAAAATTGCTGGTTTCTTTTTAGGCTAGAAGCTAAAAAAATGATCGGCCCACAACTTATAGAACCAGTGGCATTTATGTGGCCCAAATAGAAAAACTGCAACCTGAGATCACTTTTACAGAACCAGTGGCATTTATGTGTCCTACTTTCGACTTGGAGTTGGAGAGTAGCCCAATAAGCATTCTTATCTTCACTTGCAGGAGCAAGTTTTGAAATTGGAGATTACAACGTTAAGCGTTCTTACCCCAGTAAATTTACAAATCCTAAACAATACAAAATTCTTTTACTTTCTATATCTCATAGTAAAATCAACAAGGTAAATCATTTAGGATTAGGTCAGTTATTCTTATTCAACTGCAAATGAACTTCTTCAACCAACGACAATACAAATGATAGGCTAATTTATAAGGAGGGCGTTTATCACAAACACACTACCAATGTATTATGGAAGTTCGAATCTAAGACTATTAATCTGCAAGTCCAGGTTTTTTTCCATTAAGCTGAACTCCGTTAGCCTTATTACACTAATTTTTTTTTTGTTCACTTACACTCTCATTTAATGGTAATTACAAAAGTATTAAAAACCATAAAGGAGTATAAGCTGGCAAAAATAAAGCTCCTATTTTTATATTGTAAATAAATAATTTTCACATTAAGTCCAGTCATGAAATAAATAAATTACTGATACATTTGTTAGTAACCAAATCTTGCAATAATAAACAAATTGCAGGATATTGGTGAGTAATAGTAAATCATGCACTGCAATAGCAATAACTGAACTAAATCCTCTTGAATCATAGTTGGTGATGAAAAATTAAACTAAGAAAAATATGACTAGTTGCCACATGTCACACACCCTTTGTTCCTTACTCAAATAGGCAACAAACCCCAAATACAAGAACCATATAGGTGACATGCTAATTAATTCAAAAATTCCAAGTCATAGCCTTGCTCTTTGTCACATGACTCAATACTAAATAACCCTTAACAATCTATTAACAGAAAATTAACTATGCTAATCACTTTTTTGTCCACAATTAATTACATAAGCTTGGATCTTGAGATTAGAAGACAAGGGTTTAGATTGGATTATTATAAATAAACAAAACCCGATTTAAAAAGTCACTGTATTGATGCTACACGCTTTGTCCCACTTCGTCATGCATTTTTTTTCTTTTAAACATCGCACCGTCAAAAAATAACTAACCACAAAAGCTTGCTCATCTCTTTTTTTTTATTTTTTTATTTTTTTATTTTTTATTTTTCAACTATTGGACTCTAACTCATAGGCTACAACATTAGGGGTTGTGGTCCACATGGCTTGTTCACACTGAAAGTTGTTTGTATGAGCACCATACCCTAAGTTTGCTTTCATATATTATGATTATTATTTTCTTCATTCTTACCTGAATTTTGTAATATGCACTACACAACAAAATAAACAAAGTGCTATATAATATTACTTCTTAGCTGTCACTGTTCGCAAGTATTTCTAATAATAAAAAATGCCTCTCACATTTTTATTTACTAGGTAACTATATATATTTTTTATCAAATATTATTTAACTAATGTGCTGCATTCAACAAGAAAGAACTAGAATCTTTTTTTAAAATTTCTTAAACTGAACTAGGAAAGAACAAGAACCAGAATAAGATTGCATTTTAGGGTTCCTACTGCATGAAATGGATTAAATGTAAATTAGAGATTTACCGTTTTCCCAAAAAAGGATTAAATGTAAGAATAAAACTACCACAATTTAAATGTGAGCAAATATTACTAAGCAAGTACTTAACTAAATTTCCAATTTCACTAGCATCTCATCCCCAAAACCACTTTGCTTAAAGCAACAACATGGGCACCCACCGAACGATGCCATATTACCAGTTAAAACTAGATCCATTACATTGTGATAAACTCATCTAACACTATTACATTGGGTCGCCACCTCAATCTTTTAAAATGCCCATGTGGCATTCATCGACACTCCACCGATTGCGTAATTTCACGTTTCACATGCAATAATTACAATGACAATCGAGAAGCGGTGACATTTTGTATCATATCATGTCTTGTCTGTTTGAATACACGTGAAGTACATTCTGGCTCTAACTTTAATTTTTTGCCTAAGAATGTTAAATGACTCAACACTAATTTGACATGTTTATTCAACGTGTCATGCTTGAGTTGATACACGCAATTCATAAATGATAAACATTAGACATGATGAGTTTATAAACTATGTAAACTCATCACTCACTTGTACATTTTAAGTAAAAATGCTTTTGAAGGATTCGTACAATAACAAAATTAGAAAATGTTATTAAAACAACCAGACCATTTCTGTGTATATTTATTATTTATATTATATTTTACTTGTGTAATACTGTAATTAGGTAATAAATATATGTGAATGATTTAAGTATGGAGCAAGTTGTGAATTTTTTGGTTGTAATTGAGCTAACAATATTGGAAAAAAAATGCAAAAAGAAAGAGAATGGGGATTAAGCCCAAACCTGCTGAATCAAACTATCTTAAATTGGTTTAGTTTTCTTCATAACTTTTGTTAAAATCAAACCGTTATATTATAATTTATTCAGTCGTGATTTTAAAGTAAAACTGATCAAATCCAGACCGCACCCCTAATATTTACTAATTTCATATCACTTTCATTTAACTTTATTGGCTAATTTTTTTTTATCAATCTCAAATAGGTTAAATTGAGATGAATAAAACCTGCATTCTAGATTGACTTGTGCGACACTGCAACATTATACATTTACTCCCCAATTCATTGTAAACAGGTGACCACCAACCCAAAACTGACACAGTCACATCACAAGGCCTTCAACACAATTCCATGAAAAGGAAGAAATGTAGAAAATCTAGAGGGTAATCGCATACCATGATTGCCAAATATGGGAGAATGGTATTGCAATTGACTAATTGACCCTTTTGTTTCAGATTGTACCTGCTGCAGTCACTTTTAATTAAATTGCGTTTTAGATTTGATTTTCATGCAACCTTATCCGTAGTCTATACTTTAAGTACATACATAAACCAAGTAGCAGATACCTTGTCATTTTCCTCATCATATTGGAAAAAACAAACACGTGCGAAATAACCACATTTGAACGACACAGAACAATCAAGAATCAGGGTTGAAAATCGGAATCTTCAACTTGACATTGCTACCAAATATAGACTAATTTTGTGGTATATTCGGGTTACAAAAAGTGAACATTTCATAAACTTACCCAAGTAACAGATTGCTTTTTCATTTATGCACCCCAATTGGAAATAACATTATACTGCAATTACGCGATAGAAAATATTTCCCTCGTTTCTTATCATGTAAGTAGAAATTCCTACATTCCTACTAACATGTGTGCATAAGTTTTTCATTTTGTTTTTTTTTATGAATTATTTTTGCATATGTGTCGAATTGTGATTCGCAGAAAAGATGAGTATCTCTTTATCGACAATGAATATTCTTATGCAACAATGCAATATAACAATAAATTATTTATTATTCTAATTTTGGTTGTCACATTACCATACTCAATTATGTTACCAAATGGGACTGTATTATATTATAATGCGTCAATCAAATCCATTTAGAGTAGTTAATTATTTATCAATTAATGGGTGGTGACTGGTGGTGGTGAGTATAATATAATCTAATCTAATTATATAAGCCCAACTTATGGCTGTGTGATTATGTTTGTGTGTGTGTATGGGTGGTGTTGTTGACGGCTAGGGTTTCACGTAAACGGTCATAAACAAAGCCACGGAGGCAGATGACGTAGCACCACTCCCGGAAACGTGGCACCTCTTCGAGACTTCGCGACAGCGAGGGAAGGAATTGAAAGCCAAAACCCCTTCCCCCTTCCCCTTGGCAAAGCGACAAAAGCTGGAGAAAGGGATCCATTGTGGTGGGTCAACCATTTCTGCGGGCCCAGTCTGACGTGGCCACACTTGTCCCCCAAATTATACTTTCCTTTTTATTTTTATGGAGCACTAATTAGCCCACCCAGCTGTGCCATAAGACCTCGCACACAGCCGCTCCAGCTGGAACCTCACAGTCGGGTGAGGTTATCACGCCACCTCCGAACAAAAAGATATTTACTAGCTAGTGAGCGTAGAAAAGTAGCCAATAGCAAGATCCGTGGCGACGAATCAGCAAATCACAGGTTACGTGTCCAAATAACCGAGCGCCACGTAGAGAAAATGACACTGCCACGAGTGACCAGCTTTTTATATATCTGGGTAATTCAATGTGAACTCCGCCATAAGCGCGTGGAGCGAGAGCCGGAAAGCGCTTTTAAAAAAAAAAAAAAAAAAAAAAATATATCCACTTGTTCAATAAATTAACCTTTTTTTAACTGCGCTGTAAATTTTGACCGCGCAAAATTTTTTTATTTATTATTTTATTCGTAGAGTTGGACCCAGTACACGTCACACTAAGCTGCCATATCCCACGAACGTGACAATAGGCCAACGCGAGAAAATAATTTCTAGATCGGCAGCTAACGTGGGACCCACACATCTCTCGGAAGTTCCGTGACCGTGACTCGAGTTTCCTTCCCTCCCTCCTGCTCCTCTATCCGCCGTTGGATGGAAATGAGCTTACGGTCCAGATGAGGCGCACTGATCGACAC